ATAACTATTACCTAATATTATACTTAGGAGGAGATAAAGAAGTAGTTTACTAAGTAAAGGTAATAAGATATAATCTAGTACTAAAGATAGTATAAATAAAGAGGGCGAAATTCCTCTCTTTTAATTATCTAGAAGAGTTCGGAAGGTTTTAAAAAGGCTTAATAGATATATAGTAGTCTAGTAGATAGGAACTAGATTTAAGAATATAATATAAGTTTTTATAATAATATATCACTAAAAATTAATATTAAAGAACTTCGGATATATAATCAGGATACTCAAAAATATAGGGCAAATCTATATAAATTATATATATCATAAGATTTGCCTATTTATCTCGTTTAACAACCCTTAGGGTCACCCGCGGGTAACCCTCCGAGGGTCCAACCTCTAGGTAGACGACCCTTAGGGTTAGAAGGTTAGACCCTCGAACCGCCCTAGTAGCGGGGCGGTTCGAGGGTTGTGAGGGTCACCCGCGGGTCACTACCAGGTCTAGTTATAGAGAAAGATCTACATTATTAAGCTTTATCAATTAAAGCTTTACTTCGTATAAGATCTCGAAGCCCGCCTAGCCTATTAGATCGTATATTAAACCAGCTTATAAAAGGCTTCTATCTTACAATACAAGGTACTATCTTACTCGCTAAAGAAAACAAGGAATTACGCGCCGCCAACGAGAAGCAGAAGCAAAAGCGTACTAGATTTCGGAGGCAGATACTTACAGAAGAAGGCCTCTCAGTGTAAGAAGCTTCTCAATTGATTGCTAAGCCGGTAGAAGCAATTAAAGCACCCCCCTCCCCTCTACGAAGAAGCCCTTCGCCGGCTTTACAACCACGTACGCGGGCCCTACCAGAGTGTAGTGGTTGTGGAGGAATAGGACATAAGATTAATAGATGCCTAGCTAGCTAGATGATTTTACTATATTTAATTTAATGGAGTTTTGGTTGAGATAAATGCAATTGAAATTAGTAAGTTGGGTGGGGGTGGCCACTAGCTTGTGGTGGCCACTAGCTTGTGAAATACGTTATTCGGTGTGAAAGTTCAATTATTACGAACCATTAGCTCGCGCTTTGGTCCTTCTCGTTTAGGATAATAAGCGTGTGGGCTTTGAGAGCGACGCCCGTTTTGGCCACCGTATAATTGAGCCTTTTTAAATGTTGAGCTCAATTGCCAGATGGTTGTTTGAGGGTGCCCGGTGCCACAGCTTGGAGGTTCATGGGCTCCCTAAATAAAAGGCATTTGACCCGTTGTCCCGACTAAGTTCAAGGTTAGTACCGAGCTTTGAGTAAATGGAGATGGTGTCATATAGGTGAAGCATCCATATTAGTCCTAGCTTTGATAGCACAGGAAAGAAAATACGCGATGTAGGTAGGCGAAGAAGAGCCACCGGGACATTTCAAACAGTAACAATGGAAAAGTGCGACGTGGGTGAGTGAAGAGAACCGCACTCTACTAGGACCCCTGGGACGGTAATAACAAATGACCTCCTGCACGTATCATAAATGGAAAGGGCTTAATTCAATCGATTCTTATCAACTGTTATACACAGAAAAAGTCCATTTCACAAATGAAGCCTTTTTTCGCCTGCTTCTGCTGTCTATCTATGAAACTGAAGAAGACAAGCAAAATATCTATTAAAAAAGACATCCAAAAAGACATCCAAAAAGATTAACCAAAGAGACGTCAAGAGGCTGCAAACGCACCCGAATATTCTTGATGGTGAAAACAACCCTGCGGGCAAGTAATAAGGTACCTAATCAGATGTTAGTGACCAAGAAAGCTTATTTCGCAAGCTTGACGGTCTTTCCTCAACTTTGCCCATCTCCAAAAGTCAATGATTCACTCTCCGATCTCATTCGACCATCTAATCCACTCATCACTCCAATATGGTGACAATGCGTAAACGCAAGAACATAGCTCCTGAGCCTGAAGCCTTCGACGCTGGCCCGTCGTCGGCCCCACATCGTACCTCGCCCCCACATTGATTCACTTTCGGGCACTAGCGCCCCTGCCAGCGTTGGCCGTGCTAACGAACATTGGGACACCCTCAACTCCCAGGCAAAGGCATGCCTAGATAAACACGTTCTATACCAAGGTCGTACCGATCGATTTCTTGTGCCGACACTTCATGCGTTGCTCGTATGGCTCCCCCAAGCTGGGCGGGGGAAAATCGCCCGGGGTATTCTTTCAGATCAGTCGACAACAGACGAAGGTGTATACAGAGTATACGATCAAATACGGACTGCGCTCCTTCTACCAAGTAAGTATACAAGGTTAATTTAACTAAATTCCTAATAAAGACTTGACTAATCTATATATCGCGATTTAGTGAAGGCGCTAGGTACTAAATCACATCCTGTTTCTTCCCCAATTTCCCGTCGGCAAGAGGACGCACAAACAATCAGTGGCCGAGCAAGTACACCCGTTGGTCGTTCTAATCGGTTTATAGATGTCTGTTTCAGACGGGATGATTCACGTTGTGTTGTCTGGGTACCTCGCTTTAAACAAATGGGAAGAAAGAGGCCACCCCCAAGAAGAGGTTCCTATAGACCTCGGAGGGTACACATTATACTATTTCATTCAGCAAATTTAAAAGCAAGGTATTTTCACTATCATATAATATGGAATATGAGACTAAATGGCTAAAAAACAGCTAGCACCCCGGTCAACCGAGTCATCTCCCGTTGCAAAGAGAAATAAACAGGCAGCCCTCCAATCGACTCAGTCCTTTCCTACAGTGAAGGAAAAGAACCTTACCGGTAACGATACTGGCGTGTGCTGGGATGCCCTCTACACTTGCTTTCCCGCATCAAGGGAAATCATTAAAGGCTCCACTGTCGACGAATCTTCCAATGGGTTTCTGCTCGCGCCCTCTCTTCATTCCCTATTCGGAAAATTCCTTCTAGGCTTTAAGCCAATTTTGAGTACAAAGACACAATAACTGATGGACCCAGCTAATATAAAGTGTATCTTAAGTTATATGACAATTTCCTATACGAGATCGTGGTTTATAAGTCCCCTGGAATATCCCATGATGTATAATGTATGTTGATACTGTCTTTGTTTCAATATTTGATACATATGACACTGTTTGAGTTTCAAAACCACTCCGCCTACATCAAACTTTTACAAGTAACGAAGGAACAAATAGGGTAACCATATGAGATATAATACTGACAGACCGAAACCCCGTAGAATTTCGTAGAGGTAGATGGTGACCTTCCGAAGCTGCCACCAGTCCGAGATAGACCGGATGCTCCTATCCCGGAAGGACCCATAGTGGTGTCGCGCTGTACAGCCAACTATAGCCGAGATCGACTGGATTCGAGAGTGGACTTAGAGATGTGGTTAAAAGTGGTCGGTTCTCGTTAGGGAAAAGGACCCTGGAGCTTGCTGTTCCTCAGTCTAATTGCGGAGACTAATGTGGAGATCAGAGACCTTTTTCCTGGTCTCTTTTTTCATCCGGAATCCACCAGCCTCGCAATTAACACATTGGGGAGAATCACACAACCAGGAGTATCAAATGAACACACGTGACCTACGAAGAAAAATCAACAATTTCATTTCGTTTTCTTTCCTCCCCCACAAATATACAGTCTAGACCTTGTTATTTTACTGGATTTGCCTCTGGAGCCTGATCTTCTGCAAAATGGGTTCGGACAATGGAGACTTTGTTGAACAATTCGTGATTCTCACGCCTCGATTGATTATTGTTCCCACCCCAATAGCAGTCTCCTTCAACTCATACCGGGCGCTTTATTCCGAGCTACATGCAAATGTGGATTTCTGTGAGATGGGTTTCGGGCATCACTTTCCAGCCAGGGTATGGAGCGATGAGGAGACGCGTGAGATGATACAGACGCGTGATATTGAACGTTGTTGGCAAAAGCGCGGTTTGGGTGATTTTGCTGTGGGGTTGCGTGGGCCATCCACATTAGAGTCCGACAATCAATCCACACAAAATGATCATTTCACCACACTCAAAGGCGATGACTATGTACGGGTTGCGGGCCTCAATAATATCCACCTCGCTTCCTCCGAATGGGTGGGCTATGCAGGCCTCCGTGATGCCACAACAACTTCGATGCCGTCAAGAGAACCCGGAGATGCTGCGCTACCATCATGGGTCGAAATGATTGAGCTGCGCTACGGTGTATCGCCAAAATACTGGGGGCAAGGAATTACGCAGGAAGCGTCGAAGGCCATTATGCAGTGGTCTGTGGAAGAAAGAGGGGTCAAAAGATTCATCGCGGAGACGGAGAGAGATAACAGCAGAAGCGCAAAGGTGTTGCAAAAGATTGGATTTACACTGAGTGACTCGAACTATTGGAAAGAGCCGAGTGAATTGGAATGGGAGTGTGCTGCCAAATGAATCTTGAGGTACCTCTTACACCTTGAAGTCTTCAAATTCTGTGCCGCTTCCCCTGAATATTCGCAATACAGCCCCGCCGTCGTTTACCAATCTGCCTTGGTGTGAATTTCGTCCGACGTTGAATGTATATATTTACGCACCAAAAGATACCCATATCACCAGGATGGCGGATGTTAATTGGGTCAAAAATATAACCATCTCAACCTCAAATTGCGTCAATGCCAGCCTAAATACATCTTGCAGGTTATTCCCAATGAAAAGTCGCATTCTAGCTGTTGTCAAGCAATACTGACCCATCACGTCCTTAGGTGCAATTCCGCCAAGGTGGAGTATTTTGACATCATCGCTTACTTTAGTATACCACCGCTTAATTGATAAGAATACAGTTGAGATTTAAAAGATGCTCGTATCCTATTGATGATATTTCTCAGACAGAAAGATAGTTTTCAAACTTATTCTTAACTTTCAAAAACCCTCCTCGAGACGATTCCTCGTCATGGCGCCCCGATATCAAAGCGTTGCTGTCATCGGTGCTGGTCCATCTGGCATTTCTGCCGTCAAAGCCTTGCAAGAAGAAAATACTTTCCAAAACATACGTCTATTTGAGCGACGAGGTCACATTGGAGGGATCTGGCAATACGATGAGATTCCCGATCTGTTTCCATCCCAAGAGTCCTCCTCCAGTGAACAAGATCTCGAAATCCCAAGTCGCCTTCCGCTGCTCAAGTCTCCTTCTCCAGAAGACGTAACGTCTCGCACAGGCATCTACGATGGTCTTGACAGTAATGTCGGCGCCAAGGTCATGGCTTTCACGCACACTCCCTTTCCCGAGATAAATTCGGCATCGTCAAGTAGACACTTAGGGAAGTCCAATCCAACCCGGCCATTTCGGGTGGTGAGAAAGTACTTGGAAGATATATTCCAAGACTACCTTCATCTTGCCTCGCTCAATACAACAGTCGAAAAGGTTGAAAAGCGGGACGGGAAATGGACTTTAGCACTTCGTCAGTCCGGCCACGGGGATGGCAACACTCCCAAGGACTATTGGTGGGAAGAGCAATTCGATGCTGTGATTGTTGCATCGGGGCATTACAGCGTGCCTTTTGTTCCATTTGTCAAAGGGCTAAGTGCTGCCTTTGCGCGCCATCCGACCATATTTGAGCATTCAAAGGCGTTCCGAAGGGCAGATGATTATGTGGATAAGCGTGTGGTGGTCGTTGGAGGCAGTGTCTCCGCAGCAGATCTTGTCGCAGATTTACATGCCATTGTGAAAGGTCCTCTCGAGCTATCCCAGAGAGGGAAGAACGAGGCGCTGCAATCCGCGTGGGATCTACCTAATGTCAACGCTAGGCCAACAATCAAAGAGATTCAAGCAACAGAAGAAGGCATAAACGTCGTGTTTTCCGACAACAGCCTTTTGGAGGGCGTGGACAAGATCATCTTCGCCACTGGGTACAAGTTGTCCTATCCATTCCTGGTGCCGAACCCCGTGACTCCCAACAACCGGGTAGCAGGGTTTTACCAGCACATTTTCAAGATTGGGGATCCATCTTTGGCTCTCGTCGGCCAGGTTCGTGCTGCGATCAGCTTCCGGGCTTATGAATACCAGGCCGTTGCCGTTGCCCGATATTTCGCCGGAAGAAATGCGGCGTCCTTGCCAACGCCACAAGAGCAGGATCTATGGGAGGTCCAAAGACTTCAGTACAAAGGCCATACTGCCCTGTTCCACGAAATAAAGCCTGACTTTAAGGAATATTTTGATTTCTTAACAGAATTGGCTGGGCCCCCAGCACCGGGAACGGGTGGTTACTCACTCCCTCCTTGGGAAGATCGATGGGCAGAACAAGGATTCGAGATTCTTCAGCGAAAGGACAAGTACTGGAAGTCACTACGAAGAGCGGCGGATGGATTAGGGGCAGTAACGGCTAAACTTTGAAGTGAACCTCATTTACCGTACACAGGAAGGGAAATGTATATATTGCAGCCTCAGGTCGCCCAGCGTGACAAGACCGAAGCTCTATTGGACATCATAGAAAGATCATGTGTATGCGTCGGATTTCAGCCCGCGCGAGCTGGCCTCCACTTTCCGTTTTAATGCTTACCCCTAGCTGCGCCTTAATCATTAGAAAGGTCCGCAGCAACTTACAATCACTAGAAGCCTCCGCCTAAGCAGAGGGCAGGAAAGGGAAACGGCCAATGCAGGAAGCCATTTGATAACCTATCACTATATGCCTGTTCAGAGGAGTATTGTTCCACGAGCCAAAGATAATTTCGCAGCCTTCTGTTTATTTCTATTTGGCTCTTGCACTGAGAGGTTCAGGCCCAATTACATGCCCGTCGCTCCGAGATCAAATATTGCACCTACGTGACGTCAATAGTCACATTTCGTAGGTTTCACGAGTCAGCGTCAAATTATCAAGTCATAACGTCAAGTCAACCTAACCAGGGGCCTTGTTGGACCTCTTCTTGCTGCAAAGGTCGAACAGCAAAAGTCTACCACTTTCAAAGTATACTTGCTTGCGGCACAGTACTAGCACGCAATGAGATATAAAAGGGCTTGATCATTAAACAGTGTGCTTTAAGGGGCCCAAACCCCTTAATCGAGACCACAGCTTAGGTCCTTTGTGACATATTCCCCGCCTTCCACTTATTCAGGTTCGTATAATATGTGGACATATCTGAGAGGTCGACCAAATTGACACTGGTAATGGTCGGGGATGGTGATATTGGCAAATCAGCGCTAGCTGTGCGGGTTTGTCACTCTCCTCTCTTAAAGCACAAAGGCTCATTTTAACCGAAGGCGTTTCTAGTTTTGTTTGGATCAGTTTGCCGAGGAGGGCCTTGAACCAACACTTGATGACTCCTATCGGACAGGAATAGTTGTTGATGGCTGCCATTGTGCCCTCGAGATCGTGGACACTGCAGGGCGAGAAGAATACGCCGCGCTTCACGACCAGTATATCAGCGACGGAGATGCCTTCATTATTGCATACAGCGTTACTTCAAGAACGTCATTTTCTCATATACGGGCGTACTACAATCACATCAAGGACATCAAAGAGGAGATGAGGGTCAATATGATTATAAAATGGTCTCCTTCACAGCATCCGTTGAATTCGCCCGTCATTTTGGTCGGTACCAAAAATGACTTAAAAGCCCAGCGTGAAGTATCAGTTGAAGAAGGCCGAATGCTTGCAAAGTCACTGAACTGTTTGTTCATTGAAACATCTGCAAAATACGACGCAGATGTAGGGAAGATGTTCCATGATGTTGTGAGATGTTTTCGACGGCAAAATCCTCCTAGTGGTCTCGAAACACCAGCCTCTTCCCGATCAAGGAAAGCCCTGGGGAGATTGTTGGGACCAAGGCAACGAAACAATTATAATGGGCTACGATGCGTCTTTATGTAATTATTTTAATCGCGTGATATATAATGGGGCATTGGCCTGCTTTTGACATGTCAAGTATCGTTAGAACAAGCCCAGTCATATATTCTCATATAACGCGGTCGACAGTAATTCCCGGATTCTGGGCTCTGGGGCAAGTACGCATATTGGTTGTTTATGTGGGCTGTGGCTACATGAACCCTTTTTTCTAGGACTTCTAGAGTGTTAGGTAGCTTCGTCTCCCTTTCGACTCTAGGGGGTAGGCAGTGAAGGTTGTTGTCGTGTGGTGTGAAAGTGAAGTCGTAGATAATTGTTAGAATTAAGGGTACCCGAGAATTTGAGTCACGGTAGAGATGGTGATAATGTCCGATAATAGTAATGATCTTCTGGAACAATATCCCTAGGTCAGGATAGAGCTCTCACTGCAAAAAGCTTATCCTAGATGATGTAGAGGACGGAATCAATGGTATCAATAACTTGATATAACGAATTTGATCGCTTCTATAAAAACCGGCGACATAGAGGATATATGAGAGAAACAGAAATGTAATCCCTGTGGCATGTAAATTGGGAGTTTTCGGGCATATCTAGCATACGAGATCATGAACCAATACAGTTGTCTATTGAAAGCCTTTGAACCGAGAGATACAGAAAAGGTAGGTTGTGCGTCTGATACTATGTGTTCAGTTATGTGTCTATTGGGAGATATCAACAAGTGACGCGCTCATATACTTTCATAAAAGTATATAGCAAGTAACCACACAGGTGTCTACTCCTCCGGGGCATCTCTCTGCTCCATCTTGTCAGCAGCTCTCTGCTTCCCACCTCCTGTCACGTTAGGATTCTTTTGTGCGCTACATAGGTCAATCAGTAGATGTTAAACAGTTTCCCTCAAGGCCATACTCACGCTTTAAGCCCAGCTGAGACCCTCGTTGGGTCTTTGTTTTGATCGCCTCTTGCCTTATGTAATTCCTTGCGAGGCTGATCACCACCGAGCTCATCAAGCATAGCTTGTGAATGCTGCTTTGCATCTGCTGAAACGTTCGGGTTGTGCAGCGAGCTGTAAACGATAGCCTTAGGCCTTAGATACGCTCCTGAATATCTATGGTCCGGAATGCAATACTTACGCCTTGTACCCACGCATCTCATTGAGTCTTTCTTCTGTCGGCATATTGGTCGATGTGGGTGATCGTTTCAGGTGAGTGATCGTGATCGTTTAACGAAGTCAAGGCCTGCCTTTGATGGATACTCCTTCTACTTAAATGCCTTACAATCACAAGCTGGTCGTCATATATCATTTCTCCGTCACTGAATCCTGCGATGATTTGTTCGCCGTTATGATATAATTATGATGTCTTATGAGCGCATGAGCTCTCGCAATGAAACCATTCCATCATACAGCCGTAACGTTAGGGCAAAACCATGTGCTAATTTCCAAGTTGGAATCAATCGTTTTTTTACCAAAGATAAAAGTTGGATCAGCTAGCTTGAAGGAAACTAAAAGACCCTCAATTACAAACTGTCCACGGGAGGACGTTCTGTGTGGAGACTGGGGCGATGCGTACTAAGTAAGCACCTGTGGACGACCAGAGTGCTGTCTGAGCATCACTAGTTAAGTCAATATCATTCGATTGCTTGCTAAGTCCAATTAAATGGTTAGGTGGTTACTGAGAAATCCCCCTGTGCTTTGAGATAGTGAGCAGGACCCTGAGCACCTTCATAAAGCGACGTCATCCCGATTAGGGAATTCGCATCCGCGGCCTAAAATCCGGGAAGTACTGCTACATATGTAGCCTTTTTGAGTCGACTCTTTTTTTCGCTGATTCCTATTTCGAAATATTCCTCTTCCCTGTTTCCCACCGTGAGTACAATGCAACTTCTTTCAGATCATCTTTTGACACAACTATCTATATCTTTGTAATTATTCTCAAAATTTCACGACCTAGCAATGAGACAGTAAGCCTTTGCCATCATTATCGTTATCTTATCCCTCATTGTGCTTCTCCACAATTTAGGTGGTGCGCTAACTTAGCTCAGCCGGGCAATCCTGTATTGGTTGTACCTGCCAAGCGTCACTACCGGATTTACCTACTCTTGGCTACCAAAATACAAAGTTTTTATACATGTAAGTCCCGCCATCAGTTTAGCAAGAGAGCACATATATCTAATCTTCTAGTACAACTTACTATGTCTCTTTACCTTATGTGTTTGATACCCCTTTTTTGAGTTAAGGTACTCTACTCTACGTATGGACCAAAAGTACAATCAGTGGGAAGAAAACAAAACCTTTGGAAACCCCCCTGTTCCCGTGCTCAAGCCGACAAAAACCAAAACCGGATGTCGACGGATATGCTAGATGTATGTATATTTAACCATTTCCTTAGTTTGGAATGTTGCTTTGCAGACTTCAAAGGAAACTGGGGGCGGGAGGCGGGGGTGGGCGGATTGCGATGCCCATTGTGGTATGATGTTGCTTATTTTTTTTTTGAGCTGAATGCTGAACCAAATATAGAAAATAGGAGTTTCCACTTGCAGTCAGTAAGAGAAGCACTATTAGTTCGATGCTACTCTGACTGTCCTAGTATTGGCTCAAATCTAGGGCCATGCGGGCTCATTTACCCCATAAGACCTAGCTCCAACCATCGGCCAATCGCAACCCGGGAACCTTTCATGGGCTGTTGATCACGAAAATGGTTGGACAAGTGCTGGTATTATAGCGTGGGATTAGATTATCTCATATATAAAGTTGTTACTCCCATGGTTACTGTGAGATAAACACCCCTCTTTCTACCATTCCCAAGCAATCCGATATCATGCTCGGACTTTTGCCTGTCGGCCTACTGGCCATTGCTTCTTTGGCAGCAGCGCGCGATCCCACAGTCTACCTCATCCGACACGGAGAGAAACCCAGTGATGGAGGAAATGGATTGAACGCACAAGGACTCGAACGTGCACAATGCCTTCGCGAAGTTTTCGGCAAGAATTCCCAGTATAACATCACTCACATTATGGCGGAAACGCCTAAGAGCAGTATGATCACCCCCTGCCCCTGTGCGGCTTCGGTGTGCAGTATTCTAGACTAGTCCAAGGCTAACGTGAACGGGATAGATGGCAAACGTGCCCGTCCCTACGACACCGTTGAGCCGCTGGCCAAAGATCTTGGCCTCACTGTTGACACGTCTTGCGGTCGGGATGACCCGGAATGTGTCAATGATGTGGTTAAGGGATATGATGGAAAAGGCTTGGCCAACATACTGATTTGCTGGGAGCATGATGCATTGACGGAGATTGCCGAGGCACTGGGAGTCAATGATGCACCAGATTATCCAGACAATAGGTCAGTCTTCAATCCTCGTGTCATAGGTGTCGCTCGACTTCTCTAACATTCACACAGTTTCGACATCATTTGGACCCTCCCAGGCCCTTACACAAAGATAACCTCCAAGACTAGCGAGAATTGCCCCGGTTTGGATGACAATTAGTAAATGCCGAGATAAACCATGGAAAGTCCACAGCGGGACTGGGTACTTCTAGGTACCAGCTCATGCTCAACTCGGCTCTTTTTTTGTCACATCTTTTTTTTTACAAGTCACGTGTCGTTATCAATTTATTGTGAATATGCAACTTAGAAGACACTGTAACTTTGATATTACCGATCTGATTTTGAATATCCCAAGACAGTGAATTAAATTCATTCGTGGTGCAAAGAACAATCTACAGAAATTAAGAATGACCTCATCGCCTCCCAAGGTCCCTTTTTGACCTCGGCGTTATTTATATCCGTCATGTCGACCCCTGAATACGAAGCTATAGCTAGCTCATTACAATCACTTATCCTTCATTAATTACATTCTACGAGGCAGACGATAGAGATCTTGTCGGTTTAACAACACTTGCGACCGAAAGTTGGAAAAAGGAGGCTGATTACTGGTGAGACTCGGGCTAATATTCGTGGTCGAATTTCTTGGTCTATACAAATTACAATTTGAACACAAGGCAAAGCAAAATGGATTTGGATCCCATTGGTATTTAGTAGTAAAGTCATAATTAGAATACTGTGGAGGTGATAGCCTAAGAGCCTAGAGAGATAAGAAGCTACCCATCTTATTGGAAAAGCGTGGGTTCGTATAAGTAATGGAAAAGGCGCATTTGATGGCAAAGCACTGGCTTGGGCACGAGATGTACCATGTTATGGAAGCCGGGTACCTATTCAACTTGCGAAACGGTGGTCTCTTTCTCACTGGACTTCGGAGCTTCGACAGTTCCTTCCTCTGCGCGAAGATCGGCTAACTTGTCTGACTGAATCGCTCCCTGCTCCAGCCTGCGAACATGCTGGTATTGCACAGTGGTCTTCCAGGGCGTAAGACCTGGGGTGGTAAACATGGTTTCGACCTCCTCTAGGGTTTTGCCAGCCGTTTCAGGGAAGGCGAAGAAGACATGAACAGTCATTGCAAAGCAAAAGACTCCAAAGACCACATAAACCTTCCATTTGATGTTTTCAAAAGCGGGAGGGACAAAGTAGGATAGGGCAAAGTTGAAGATCCAGTTTGACGACGTGGAAAGCGCGACAGCCTTGCCACGTAGGCGGAGGGGATAGAGCTCAGGTGGGTAGATCCAACTGACAGGACCCCAAGTTGGTGCGTAACTGGCGACGAAAAGATAAGTGCAAGCGATAACTCCTTTGGCGGCCCTGGGGGCATCAGAGAGATCCCAGGACTGCTCGGGGGTATGGTTGAGACCACCCGGTGGAGCTGGCTTGCCATACGATGCCATAATACCAGCATTGGCAAACATGAACACCATCATCAGAGTAGAACCAACCAAAAGCGGAGTACGACGGCCCCAACGATCAATGAAGAGCAAGGCTAGGACAGTCATCACCACGTTGATAACGTACTGAATCGAGGATGCAACAAGGTTCGAGTTTCCAGTGAGCCCGGCCATACCGAACACGTAGGTAATGTAAAGCATCATGACGTTCATACCAGTGAGCTGCGACCAAATCTGGGTGAACATACCGAGGTGCGTTCGGTAGAGCATAGGGCCCTTGAAAAGGTCGAGGTATGAGGCATCCTTGTTGTTGCGCTCAAACTCGACCATATCACGGATCTCTTGTAGCTCAGCCTGCACGAAGGGCGCATGTCGGTCCCCTTTGGCATGGACCGAAGCCAAAACCTCGTGGGCCTCGTCCCAACGATCCTTCTTGGCCAACCAACGTGGACTCTCCGGCAATAAGAAGACAAAGCCAAAGAGCAGGGCGGCGGGAACCATCTGCAAGCCCCATGGAGTGCGCCAGGCAGCGGTACCTTTAAGGAAGCTACACCCATATGAGACGTAGAACATGATCAAGATACCCCATGTAATCGCCCACTGTTGTGCTCCCACGACCTGGCCACGCTTACTGGGCTGGGCTAGCTCGGCGACGTAGACGGGGACTTGGGCGCTGAGGATACCGACAGAAACGCCGTTGATGAAGCGGCCAACAACAAGCTGGGCTATTCCGAAAGACGAACACACGATGGCGCTACCGATGCACCAAATCACCGAGCCAGACTGGATGGCCCCACGGCGACCCAGATAGTCAGTCACAAAACCAGAAGCTAGAGCACCAACCCAGGAACCACCAGGCATAGCTGCTGAGATACCGCCCTGATTGGACGAGGTAGGGCCGCCACATAGACCTTCATCGTTGGTGCCAGTTTGGTTAAAGAAGCACTTGTACTGCTGGGTGCCGAGGCTGCGAAAGATAGTCAGTGAACATCATTTCTCACCTTGATCTCGTCAGGGGATGAGAAGTCTTACATGGCGGACATGGAAGCGATATCAAAACCGAATAGTGCACCGCCAATGACGGCCACCGTGGTGATGACATAGATATTAGTTATCTTGTACCCCATGACGAAGTTCCGTAAGGGAGTAAGATGAAAGATGGAAGAAAAAAGAAAAGAGAAAGGAAGGGACGAGGAGCAAGGGCGAGGGATTTTAAAGATACAAAGAAGGAAAATACCAAACCATTAAAACATTAAAACATTAAAACAATAAAACAACAAAACGCCCAAACGGGAAAGGCCAAACCCAAAAGTCAGAAAGGGAAAACGCGGAGGTGTGGAGATGCGGGGGAAAGGCGTATCTGGGTTCCCCGGAATACCTGCATTATAGGTGCATTGCTACTACAAATTGATGTACAAATTAGTACGGAGTACTCCATACGAAATATCCAAGGACTAAAGCAGACACTAAGAGAACCCAGCTTTTCCACTTCAATATGTCAAACCCTGTCCAAGCTGAACCTGGAAGCTACCAAGTCGCCAAGTCACCAATCATCGGCTGAATATCAAATTGGTTTGTGGTCAGATGCCGTTTAGCCCCTTAGTGTATGTAACTTCATGTGTCGCCTCAAGCCACATGGTATCATCGCATGTCGGACATTTTCCTATTTTGTTCAAGGGTCTTGGGGAATGAACAACCATAGGTAGTTTCCCCTCCTTTGTCGACGAAAGAGAAAAGGACAAATTCAAAACTAACTTTGCACCATAAGACACCAAGAACCAAGCATCATTCCAACGAGAGCCGACATCCGCTCCGTGTTGAAGTCGAAGTTGTCATCTTGGCTCACGAAAGGCTTGAATTAGGGCGCCGTCGCGAGACTGATGGCGGTCAGTTCTCCTTGGCAACACGCCTCTCCCGTTATGATTCGGTAACACGGCCCAGCCCACAGCCATGAGACAACGCCCTCGGAGCCTGTTTGCCCGAGCAGGAAATACTCGTGTCGATGGTACGACCCGACTAACATGCAGCGTTTGCACGACACTCTGGGAGCAAATTACAATGCTAACCGACTGGTGTACCACCCCTGAGCAATTTCTACCAGGGGCTCTTCCGAGTTGAATCTCCATTCCAACCTCCCAGGTGGCCCCATAGCTAGTATCTTGGCACACATGTGAAGCGCCACATTGCGGTTGGGGCTGGAGGATTGAGTGCGCACCATGCGAAACCGCAAATTAAGGCGCCAAGTGGGCCATCAAGGCTACGCTTACCGGGTTTAAACATACCACACCAGAGTTTCGGTCTCGGGGCAAAGACAGGAAACAAAGGGACGGTTTGCTACTTCGATTGCTGACCACCAATATGAAATCATTTAGAACTCGATGTCTTCATCCTACCACGGCTGTCAACGACGCAAGAAGAGCCCCTTCGAAGAAAAATCGAGAACAATGCATCACTTTGTCTCTGCGTCTTACTAGGCGAACAGAACAATACATCAGAATTCCTAGCATCTCTGGTCTAACAAGATAACGTGTGCAGTTTCCCTGCCGAGTCGAACCGATTAAATAAAACCAACGGTTTGAGGTGTATGTTTTTTTTAGTGTTATCTCCCGCCCTACGCCCCTTTCAACAGATCCTGGCTCCCTTACTAGCCGGTACTAAAATGTGATCTACCATATTTGCAATTTGAAATGTTGCTCCGAGGCTGAGAATCCATGCATTCGAGATAGAACAATCGGGCCGATAGAATGTCTTTAACCTACCGGTTGAAATTGCCCCTGGAATTTGCTAGCTTTATTGTTGCCCGTGCCCCAAGCCTAGCAGATAATTGACGCCACTATGCCTGTGGTACTTCTCTAGCTCCATCTTTGCTGTTGCTTCTTTTGCCCTGGAAGACCCGGCTACTCGCATTCGCAATCCTTTATCGAGAGACTACGGAGTGATAAGCGCAGACCTGACCCGAAGTAATCAATGCCTCTGGGGCGCTCCAGACTTCGCGAGCTTTGGAAGGTTACGCTTTGACGATCACACTGAGAGCGGCACATTTATTCCATGTAAGGGTTACGGTTCCTTGTCCAGTAAGACCAGTGTTGTGCGCAGTGAACATAGATACTCCGGAGCGAACAGCGGCAGAACAAACATACTTGAAGCTGTCAAGCAGTAGGTACTTCGTATAGACTAAGCCGCCGAGGTGAGGTCATGCTAATTGCTAGCTCAATATTGGCGCACGGACAACAATGCCTCAATTATGCACGGGCCTTGGTAGTTGAACTGACCTTCGTCATTATCTACAGGCTCACCCTCCTCGTAGGTGGTTTTCGGCTTTCGGTGTTACAGTGCACAAGTTGGACCTTCGTTTAAGCGTTTCGGCAATTCAGATTACAGAAGGTTGTTGTGCCCTTTCTTAATGAGTGCCTTTTGTAGTGGGATTAACAAACCATTTCACAAAGTCGAGCGTACTTTTCTTTTAATCTATTGTCAACAACGGCGTTTCGACGAATCAAGTTCTTATTTTTTTTGGTCAGTTCTGTGTCTCATGTCCTGGGTGTGTTCAAAGGTTGATAGTAGCTTCTTACATATCTGGTAACAGTATCCATGAGACCAATCATTTGATGATCCTGGGCATTTGATGTAACCTTGAAAACCACGCCTGCTTACTCCATGGTTGGATATTTCTTGTGCAGATCCCAACGAATTAATATGTAATAAGTCACCCTTTGGAGTCAAATACGACATCTGATATATTATTGCAAAGTTTCCACAAGATGGGGCTCCTAAGGTTGCATCGTCCCCGCAAAATACTTTCACATCATGCTTCCAGGTAAATATATCAGGTGCACCTGGGAAGGCTTGAGTGAATCTGAATCCCCGCCACAAAGGGCTTTTTTGACATTTTGTCTTAATAGACATGGCTAGGTCATCAAGAGAAATAGTGGATGGCCTCTTTCCCCGCTTACGAGCGCAACATCGAACACCTTAGGGGTCCCCAATAAAAGCCAAATACTCGACAACCACATATGCAAGAAAACACTGACTTGGAGATACCGGTCAGGGAACATCGTAGGAAGACAGACTTCTTCTGCTTCTCTGCCTAGCTCCGTCCCTGATATGTAGATAATATAAATCTCACGTTTAGTGAAATAACACAGATTTAAGTAAGTCATCCCCTAGAAATGATATCGGGAAGTCTGACGCCTGTGGCGTTGGGGGTCAAAATGTGGGGGGCTCCATCCCGCGAATTCTCATTTTCTTCAATTTCCCCCTTGTTCTCCCCGCAAATTTTACATAATGGGCACAGCAACTGATGCGCCGTCTTCTATTTCAAACCCGAGTGATGCACTCGATGGCTTACCGCCACCTTACACAGAGCATGACCCGCAGACAGCGGCTCACGCCCCCCAATATGACACACCATCCTATACTGAATCTACCAGTACATCTGCAACGACCAAATTTCCACCCGCGATAAACGGATACTTTCAATGGAAACTTACAACCACATTTCACCTTGGGCCGACCGCAGATGAAAAGCTGTATGCGGTGTCAACTCCCGCGACTGTTTTCAATAACAAACCCACGATCGTGTTATACGATGGTCCAACTAATACACACCCGGTAATGGCAACGGCTCATGGTGACAAGTGGGGGAGGAGCAGACCCATCACAATCACACTCCCACCTCGTCCAGGATCTCAATATGAAGAGGCCGTTGTGGAACAGGTCGTTCCCGGTGGATCACTGAAGTCACCTAACCACACGTTCGAAATATCCGTGGGTCCAAAAGGAACAACACGCGAAAGATTCGAATGGCGTCAGAGCCATGGCAAGGAAATAAAAGAGCTTGCTGGTTTCTCCTATGGGTGGAAATTGGTCCGATTGGCAGGACCTGTGAGCAATGTAGGTGGGAGCAGAAAAGAGCGCGATCGGGGGTACACAAGCGATGGTTTGGAGATCGTCGCTCTCATCGCACACAACGCTTCTTGGAGCATGACCAAGGGCTTTCGATTCACCTTCATGGGCGCTGGGTTGACTGGTACCATGGGAGAAAATTGGGAGATTGTTGTGGTGATTTCTGCTGTCCAATTGTGGTTCATAGATGTACAAGATGCTGCTGCAAGTGCTAGCTAGCACACGTTAAATTGATCACAAAGCCTGCTCTGTTTTATTCTAAGCTTATAATTTCTATACAAATCTCGACGTTATCTCGACTATACGAGGCACACCTATCTCTCTCACTCCATTCATTGTACCAAGGTAATGACTATATTCCATCCTAGAGGGATGAACACATCGCTTGTGCTGTGTTGGCACGATGGATTTCTACTCATCATTATAAGTTCTCTGGGTTGGATGTTTTACGCATGCATGTAGTAATTCCTTTGGGGTGCAGGGATCAAGTTTGGCCTACGTTTATCGCTGAAACCATTTACTGGCGCGACTTTGACAATGTGGTAAGAGTCAGCAGTTTTTCCACTAGAAATCCTAGATGGGCTCATCGTACATCATTCGAAGCTACGTGTCTAGGTCGGATGGTCATTGACGAATTCGGCGGCATTCGCGGGAGCGGATATTAACGTTGAAATCCCCGAAGATGGCGGTCCGTTGATCAACAAAGCTAGCGAGGTACGCTAGATATCATGTGTTGATAGTAATTGCGTGCGAAATTTGTCCCTAAAATGATCTAGTCCGAGAGACCCTGGGACTTTGGACAATTTGGACAGGTCTTGCTCTGTAGATACGCCCAAGTACAATATTTTCCCATGTCTCAGGTCGATCTCCAGCTTTCTCGCTCCACCATCACCTCCCGCGCATCCACTCGGGCTGATCCACCTTTGCCATTATCGGATTTTGTATTCTCATGCTACTTAATATATATTTAATATCTTCATTGTGGCTGTTCTCCGTGACCTTCTAGTACTTTAGAGCGATGTGAAGGAGAACTGTCTAGACTAGATAACGCCTAACCCCACGACTCTCGGACACCATATTATGTATGTTGTACGGAGTATCGTCACAACAACTGCACATCCACGCACCTAAGTGGCTCTTCAACTGTCAATCTCTGCCCCTCAGACCTAAACACCCCCACTCATCCAGGTGAAATCCGGGTAATTCCGCAGAGAGATCGATATAATCATGTCATTTATATCCGATTCTGAATAGGGTGGAAATTAGAATCCGAGAAAGCGGCAAACCTTCACACAAACGCAATTATCTCGGCCTTAAGTGTAGATTTTTTTCTTCGAAAGTGGAAACGAGCAATTTGCAGCCTCTTAGAGTGGCGGGATATAGATCCACCGGGTCATGGCGCTCTAACATTGGCCACATCGGATCAAAGTTTGATCTTCCAGAACTCCCGCGGTGGCCAAATTCGCGATAATAGAATTTGATCTTAAATACGGAGTACTCCATACTTGTTCATTGCTTTAATCTGCAATTGATTTTGTGGTTCTCTCATTCACCATCTCCCCCCGATTTGCATCCACACTTAGCATTGTTGGGCTTAATTTGTTGACGTTATCCGTATGTGCTATGATGGAGCTGGTGCTGCCCAATGACGTACTTCTCTTGATAGGAGAGCAGCTGGAACAGAAAGCAGACCGCTGGAACCTCATATTTGTCTCTCATCATTTTCACGATCTTTTTCTCTCGCTGGTATATCGAAAGGTTTCTATCTACAATTGGCAAGATGCCAATTCCTTTTTGCATGCCATACTGGAACGACCTGCGCTGGCGCGGGCCGTTCGGGAGCTAGACCTAACAGACTGGCATGCCAAAAGCGTATCGGATGACGACTGCAACCAAATTCAGACCTCGGCAGCTTTGAGGGCATGGCTGGAAGCTGTATCGTGCTCAACGCTTGAAAGTGACCAATGGGCCCAACGCCTCGGACAAGGCCTCGCTGACGCCTGGGTTGCGCTCATCCTCCCATTGTTAAGTCAGCTGAGGAAGCTTTCACTGGCCTATACGACAAATTCTCCATATTTGGAGCGGATCGTGCAAAGGGCTGTTGATTGCAAACACCCATTTTCCGTCCAACCAGCCTTCCGGCACTTGCACGAGGTCTCGCTGCATCATCGGGAAGATCTCGATCATAGCGAGCACCCGGACGATGCGAGAGCTGAGACTCAGCTATCATCAACACTCCTCTTGCCATTTTTCCAACTGCCGTCTCTTCGCGCAATCACAGCCAACTCTGTAGTGGATCCTACTTCCATCACTCCGCCCTCAGAGGAATTGACTGATGATGACAAGCCACGTCTTGGCTTCTCCTCGATCACCAACATTGATTTGCGCGCAAGTAGTGGGAATCATGGCATGGAGATGTTGGTTAGTTCATGCGCCGATCTAAAGTCATTTAAATATCAGCATTCAGACTCGCATGTCCTTTCGCATGGCTACCAACCATCCGCCTTCCATCGCTCTCTTACCCACAGCAAAAAGAGCCTGAAAACCCTATGGCTGGACCACTATGGTAGTCACTACCCTTTCACTGCTGCCGGGTTGAATCAATCCCACGACGAGTGGTTCGGCTCACTTGTTGATTTCACTGCCTTGGAAGAAGTGCGTGTGAGACTGCCAAATCTTCTGGATATTCGATACCAGAACGAACCAACCACGCCTCTCATGGAATGTCTCCCATCATCCATTGAGACTCTTTACATTGAAGGGTGTGAAGAGCGATATCTGGGAATGTTGGTTTCCCAATTACAGGCCGTGATCAAAAATCGCCAGACTCGCTTTCCTAAACTTAAGCGTGTCGATGTCGAGGGCGCATTCCAAAATGTCCCGTCGGATGACGATGGTCAGGGTGCCAGCTCCAGGCCGAATGCACTTGAAGCTGTGATCAAGGACAAAATATATCAGGCTGCTGAGCCTTTGCATATAGACTGTGTCAATGCTGGGTTGGAGTTGCATCTTCACGACCGTGCTCTATCGCATATATGATCCCCCTCCCCCATTCGTTAGCAACCTTCGGGCTTGCATTTCCCAGCATTTGATTTGACGATACCACATGAAAGCTTTGCATTATATAGATCTCCCTTTTATTCTTCACAATTATTTCGGCGCAAGACTTGGAATTGCTTAGATCATTGAATAAGACCTTCGACTCTTCATTCTCAATTCAAGTTCTGGATTTTTATTATGCCAAAGGGCTTCAATCATTCTGTAGGAAATACACTAATCCACACAGTGGATATGTAGTGATCGAAGTTATCCCTTGTATACATCCGTAAGAAGATCCACATTTCATAAAGAAACATGCTTCTAAATGGCAATTGGAATTGAATTTGGAATGATGAGAGGGTATTCTATAGGTTGTATATTTAAAGGGAAGCAAGAACGGCGTCGGCGCCAGATTTCTGAAGACAAATTGACCTGTTAGCCACCAGAAGGACCGGAAACGAATAATAGAATTCCATACCTTGACAACACCCCTTTCGGTCTCGATTTGAGCATAGCTCACCTTGCCATGATCGATAACGATTGCATACCGACCTGTACGGCCCGACGCCTCATCGGCCCAGCCAATGCTCTTAGAAAACTTGGCATCGGGATCCGAAAGGAAAAGCTGATCACCGACATCAATACTAGTCGCAGAAACGTGCAAAGTAGGGGTATGCTCACGATATCATCCCCGCGAACGGAGTTCGCCTTGCCCCAGGCACTCATCACGAACGGATCGTTGAAAGCAACGACCGCGACAATGTCAACTCCCTTCTCGCGGAGCTTGGGCAGGTTCTGAATATATCCTGGCACATGGCTCACGGAACAGGTAGGGGTGAAGGCACCTTGGTACACACGCAGGTTAGCATTCTGCCTCTAGAGGGTAATGTCAAGATTAACTTACCGGGAACTGAGAACAGGACGACCTTCTTGTTCGCCCACTCCTCCGAGGCATTGTAGTTGATGGGGATGCCACAGGAGGTAATTTCACCACTCTCCTCGTTCCATGGAATGTAGCTAGAGAGATCAGCGTCATTCATTGCGGGGGTTGGGGGTTTACCCACTTGAAGATAACGTCGCTAGGGAACGAGTCACCGGACTTGAGGGTAGTCATATTGTGATGGATATGGATATTGTAGAAGAGAGATACGAAAGAGAAGTTGAGATTTGGGAAATGGCGGGGTGAAGACCCTCGGGGTATTTTGATGTCTCGACGTCAAGCTGATTAATATGAGGTGATTGCACGGGCGGGGCTTGCCGACCTCGGCATCTGGGTAACCTCTCCCTCTCCCCTCCCTGTCTTGCTTTTCCTTAGTCTAGGCTTGTTGAACTAATACCTTGCGTCTATAAAAAAACATATTTTCAATATAGTAACGATTCATGGTGGGTTATGACTGGGAAAGTCAAGCTCCGAGACTCCCAGATAGGCACCAGATGAACCCGTGCGGGGACCCCGCGGACGACAGACACCTAGCTCCAGCTTAGAATGGCAAATTATGGTGATAATTCTTCGAAAATTCAACACGCAAGATGGGAGTTTCACCCCCGGATACATATATTCCTGACTTCACATCCGGCTTACCCCTTGGACAACCCGGATCCGGTCAATTCGCACACTCCCCGGCAACCTAGGAACGCGTCAAGCGGGGATCAAGGTTGGTGCATACTGCATTATCTACCAGATTACAATTGAGGTTCTCTATCATGATGAGACTTACGGAATTCATCGAATTGGTTGGATGTTGACCACAGAGGGAGCAAAGAGAGGTCTATCAAAACACAGGCTAGCCAAATTTAAATACCAAAAAAAAAACCGAAATCAAATAAAAGAGTTAATTCAAGATACTATTATACAAGTCAAAAGGAATGTCGACACTCTGTGTGTGCGTCTTAGTTACAATATCAACTAGATATGGCAATGTCCTCAATCAACCACATCCGGGAGTCAGTCTTTTAAGATTGCTTCCCTTTGGATGCTGTTGAGGTTGGACCATATGAACCAAAAAAAGGATCAGAAAAATGAGTTTCAACGTTAGGCGTCAAATGAAAAAATGGCATGATCAAGAACCCGGAACTCTCACGTCCAAGGTGGTAGACTGCCAATTTTCGGAAGTGCTAATTTAGCAGGTGGTGATGTAGAGGCCGAGACTGCATAGATTGTTAGCTGGTATCCAGACAGAGAAATAGGAGAAAGCAACATACGGAGAGGGGTTGTAGTCCTCGAAGAAGTTAAGGTCGGTGCTGCCAGAGTTTTTCATCTCGTAGGCCACCGTCTCGCCGGCGGGACAAGAGAAGGTGGAGATAACGTACGAGTTACCGGGGGAAACAGTGATCTCGCCGAGGTCCTGGGCCACGGAAGGTAGGTTGTTAAAGGTGGTGGACTTATCGACAGCGGAAGAGAGCTTGGCGAAGTCAATCTTGCCGTCACCGCTGAAGCTATAGGACGAGGTCTCGAGGTCCTGGAGCTCAGGGAAGAGGAAGACGAGGCTACAAGTCTTGCCCGAGTCGGATGAGGGAATATCGAAGTTGAAAGCGCTCGAGATGGTGGAGCTCACGGTACCATTGTAGGAAGTACCAGCTGCAGTGTCGGGCGAGGAGGAGTCAACGGGGACAATCAGGTGAGGGAACTCGTAGCTGCCGGTAGTGAGAGTGGTGGGGCACGAGCTGCTGGAGGACTCAGTGGCTGAAGGAGTAGCAGAGGCAGAGCTGGCGGGAGAACTGGCGGGAGAAGATGGGGTTTGCTGAGAGCTGGAGGATTCGGAGGAAGAGGGAACAGCGCTAGTAGATGATGACGAGCCGCCGGAGCCAGAGCCTGAGCTTGAACAGGAGTCGGCAGTCAACTCCACGTTCACACAACCGGTGACATCGGACTTGGCGGGAGAGGTGTAGACGTTCAGACCACCGTTTTGGCCCGTGGCACAGGCAACGAAGTCCTTGCTGCCGTTGTACTCGAGCTCGCCCTGAGAGCTAAGAGAGAAACCGGGTGTGGGAGAAGCACCCTCGTCACACTGGAACTGAGTAGTGGGGGCTATTATACAGTTAGACGTGCCTTGCATATGATATTTGACATGGTCACTCACGGGTGAGAATACAGCCACGGCCCTCGGAGTCAGTGATAGCACCCTTAGAATCGATACAGTATTGAGCAGCTGACAGGCTGTTGTCGCCAATACGGTTCTGGCCATCGCTTAGCTGGCCAAGCTGGCCGGAGGCACCACCGGAAGAGGTGAGGTGGAAGCAGCAGCTATCACTGCGGCCAACGAGAGCATTGGTGCCAGCAGCAAAGGCAGCAATGGTGATGAAGTTCTTCATCATGATTATTGTTCAGCGGGTATGAAGGGGTGGTCAGTTAGCGAATGAAAAAGACTGATTTGAAAAGTCCTTCGAGCTTGATATTTATCAGTCGAATTGCGATAGAGATGAATCTGATGAATTGAGGTTGGGAGAGGCCAATATTTATAACACACGGGGGATTAGAACTCTATCATTACGAACGAATCAAGGGAATGCATGCTCCAGCAGGCACCGGGGAAATTCCGTCAACCAAAAACATAAGCAAAAATAGAAACAGCGTGGTGCCAGGCATCATGCGTGGAGGAGACACGGTGGACCAATGCCCTGGTCTCGGAGAGTTGAGCATTGCAGGTCCGAACCAGGCACATACAAAGTAGTTGACATCATCTGGAGCAGAGATCTATTTCCTTGGATTGTGGAGTAAAAGACCACGCTTGATTCCCCACTTACAAACCAGATTCAAACACTGACAATGATCACTGGCTGAGAATGAGAGGGATGTGGACCCTTGGCCTCTTTTAGTCTGCTATCCACGGTACAGATAGCCCGATTGAAGGTGGCAACACACATTTTCCATATATCGTCCGCTGGTTTCGTTCTCTGAGAGGCTCAGGTCGTTCTGCCTTCGGATAGAACGGATGAAGTTATACTTCTTCCATAAAATTCCACGGGACTGCTTAACTCTGATTGGATACCATTACCAGGTGGGTGGGACTGTACGAAATGAGGTAGCTAGGTATTATCCCCCAGCTTTTGGATAAAAATAGCTAAGCGTAAACACGGATATGCTTGGTATACTGCAAGGTTGCCGTCATCCAACCAAGCGAAAAGGAAATCGATACATGAAGGGCTAGAAGAGCTAGACCATTATGTCAGTAACAATGACCAATCTCTGAAGAGTCCCTGTGTCTGATAGAATTAGTGTAATAGCTGCTATAGTGGACTCTGTGACATAGCAACGGTGGACCTAAGCCTTATGGACTAATTTAATTAAATATGGCAAGTGAATGACCTCATGGGAAGACAGAAAACAAACAAACAAGATTGAAAGCTTTTACCAAGTGGACGTCTTAACCAACAATGATCTCCGGCTTTTTTTGTTTCGCTCGACCATGGAATAGTCACATAACTTTACAAGCCTTTTTGAATAATTAACCACGTCATGACTGTACGATATCTGAGGTGTTTCTTGTTTATTTTTATGTGGGCAATAGTTTACCTGGCATTAGATCTATTCCTGATGCCAACGTTCAATAGGGTACCGATCAACCCAAATCTGCGCCCCAGTCCGTGCTTCTAGAACCGAACCTCAATAATTTTAGAAAGGAAATTCAAGTGTACAATGCAGGGCAAGGTGGTTCATATAGTACGGCAAAGGACTTTGGACAATCTTGCCGCAAGGGTCAAAGTTGCTATGTGCCCAGGAACCAGGCAACATCTCTCTCGACCGACCACAAACATCCCCACTAGCTAGTTTAGAAAGTGACACCAATTGGATATTTCAGAGATAGTTTTTGGTGAGCGTTTTAGGTCACTACTCTTACAAACCCCAGTATTATATTACCTGGTATATAATATGGGTTCCTTACTGATTGAATTGATCATCCGTGGACGTTAGTCCCTTCAAGTTAAGCCCGCTGTGTCGATCGCATTATGGATGTGACTGGTTAGCCTAACTAGGAAGTGGAGCTTGATATAATAACGGCTATGATAGTAGAGATGACATATACCTTTACATAAAATGAATCTACATGTGCGTCATATCAAGTAATATGCATTCTAATTTCTAATATTTTGTACCAAGATAAATAATAATATGTACAACAGTTGAAAGTAGTAGCATGTAGATAGAAAGGGAGAGTCCAATTTGGCGAAGAAGCTAACCTAGTCTACTATGTATTGTTTAGATCGATGGGCAAAGATGCCCAAATGCTTGTTCAGTTAGGCTGTGGTCCGAACTCTTATTCAACGCCCGCCTGCCAAAGGTCGTATAGAATAGGCAGGGTCGGGTCTATTCGGAGATATCTTTGTTTCCACTAACTAGCCAGGAATATGCCGCTCGTTGCTATAGAACCTTATAACCCCCAACAAGTCTATATTGTCCTAACTAAGGGATCGTTGGTTGATTTCCACCGGCGGCTAATACCCGCCTCTGACAACCATTCTGCATCCATTTCACACGTCGGCGAAGGATTAATCAGTGACGTCACATTAAATTAAATTATGAATACGTTCTATGGCTACATAATTTATGTACATAATTCCATAGACCCAGTAGACCTCCGCAAAGCCCATAAGGCCCCCAGTATAGCCCATTTAGGATTTATGTGTGGTAGTCCCTTTGCTTGTTCATTGCTATTGCATTCAATACGAGTATCATCCGGTACTGGCACTGTGAGAGGTTTGCCTTCTGAGCGGCGGATATCTGTAATAGACTCCGGTGGTGGACAAGAAAAGCTGATTGCTGCGAGGAATATTGTACAGTTCTTTTGGATTGCTTGACAGCCCGTGTGCAAAATGTCCGCCCATCGCACACTATCTCATCTCAACATGGTAATAGATGGTTGCGAACGCAGTACCTGCAAAGACAAATGTGAAATGCATGGAGTGAGCATCGAACTCCTTTTCAACGGCCGATTTCGCGGGTGGTAGGTTGACTTGTGTTGTGGGTATTATTCTAGCATTTTTGCTCGGGTCAGTACAGGAAAAGGGCAGATGGTAGAAGCGAACATGGTCGATGGTGACTGTCCTTACTGTAGGGTGTATGGATGCAAGGATAGCGGTCAGTATATGGCCGTCGTATCCTTGGAACCCAAGTCTTCCGACGCACTCGGTCAAGGGATTGGCCTAGGGGGAATCGTGAAAACAGATCTTTGTTGCTCGCGATGCACATCGTTGTCGACGAGACCTTCCGTACCCAGATGCGTAAAGAATGAGAGGTCATATTCGATAGAACTAATGCCAACTATACGCTAGTTTGAACTAAACGCTCATTTCATACATGACAGCCGGTGATGATGCTCGGTGAACTGGGCAAAGTGCTCGGTTTGATGACTATGCAATAATCGGCAATCAAAAACTAACAAGACACGAGTACTAAACTAAAAGGGACATGATAATTCATCTTGCGAGGGCTAAAATCTGGTGTATCTGTTCGCTTTATAGCTTATGTTTGTGTTCATCTGACTGTAGCCGTCGTACGACTTGTTCAATAGCACTCATACGTTCATCATAACATTTCCAAAAGGCCGGAAGGGACTTCGCTGTTTCGTACAAGAGGCTAAGACCCTTGATTCCTCTGGAAGCATGCTCTGCCGGAACAGTCTCTCCTGGTTGATTCAGTGATGCACTGAACACCTCGAGCGAGATTGGGCCTCGGTACCCAGTGGCAAGCACAGCAGCCGCAACTAGCTCAACTGGCATATACGCACCTCTGGACTGCTCAAGCGGATATAACCGATGACTTCGTGACCATGGGAGCAGTGATGGTGTTTCCGGGTCGGTCGGAGGGAGGAAAGTCGTTGTATTCATCAACTCCGCATCGCCACATTGGAAGAAAAATATCCGATCACCCGGTACCGTGGAGACTAATGACGCGAGTGACCCAGTAAGAACATCCAGAGATTCCTCCAAGGTAGGATAGATCCGCCCGTGACCAGCAACATTGTACGGATCAGCAAACTCGACAGCGAGGATATTGAAGGCATCCACGATCAGTCCAACGTTAGGGCGGTTGGCAAATCGCACAACTTCCCATGAGGCTGACCATGTATTTCGAGTTGCCCAAGATAGGCCCTCGTACCCAATTTTCAACATGCGCCCACCATCAGCCTTTGCATATGCAGCCGCCATGTCGCCCAGTTCCGCGAGGTCCTTCGCGACCGTCTTGAGATCAGAGGTCACCCCTTCATCAGTACGAATATTCGCACACATAAAGACAAGATCTGTGTCAAAGGCACGCATGAAAGGAAATCGTCTATGGTGGTAAGTTAGTACGACTTCATGACAGTATTACGACTATTTCATCATTCAGGTAAGGTATATCTCACTTAGCAACTAGATCGAATGTAGCCTGGCGTTCGACTGGATCTTTGATTCCCTCGATTTTCCGAAGAGGCTGGGTGCAAGCAATCCGCATTCCCAAGGACTTGACAACACGAGCCAATTTACGCGCAACCTGCAGATTCTCTGCGGTCGGTTCCCAAAGTTGGCTTCCTGGCAGTCCATGTTCCTCCAGATACGCAGCCCAACACTCATCAAACAAGTCGATCCATTGATATCCCGATTTTGCTGCAGCCTTCAGGCGTGGTTCCAAACGATGCTCTCTCCAGTTTCCGAGGGACAAGGTGGCGATACCCAGTGGATTGGCTTTAGATGGAGGCCAGGAGACTGCCATAATTCCAGATGTGGTAGGTTGTATGATTTTGTTGGGTTATTAGTTCCATTAATACAACAAAAGGATGATCGAATACCCGAGTTGTTGACGCCAGTTGACGCCACTTCACGCCACCTCCACAAACGGTGTATTTTTTAACACACCGAGTGGGGGGTAGTCGATCACCTGTATTAAGGCGCCCATCATCATTAAGAAGCTGATCAAAGGAATGATATATGGAAGTACACAAATGTGCCCAAACCCTCGATCACGATAAGATGCAAGTAAACGAATCTCAAGGTCGCACACACACAACCAATTTTCTAGTTCAAAGCCTTCAAGAAAAAAGCCAGTTTACCGCAGAATGTCTTACTTTCACAAGAAACTAGATACATGAAGCATCTAAAACTGAAACTGGGAGTCCATCCCTGGGCTTCAGAGCCGTAACAATAGCCTCACGGAGGGAGACTGCTGCTAATCTATCCTCAGCTGAGCAAAGAGGATCTTCCAAGCCACGGACTGCTCTAGCCAAATTTGCTGTTTTTTGTCGAAATAGAATCTCTTAGGTGACTAGAAGCGTGATGCATGCCATTAGAGTTCTCCACCCAAGCTCTTAGTTATATCTGTCTGCTGTCTGTGGATCGTACGTCCAAAGCGTGCTTTGGGGGATAACGATAGTCCCTTTTGTGCCCATAATGCGATAAATATCCACTGGAGCTTTTGCCTTTGGATATAAAGGATTGTTGCCTGTAGCAGACTCCCAAGCGTATGGGCACGCCACATTGTCATCACCAGGAAAGTCCCAACAACTCCATTGGAAGTTTGGACCATGATCGCTGCACCTTCCTCAACTATATCATCGATATGTTAGGTTTAGGTCGACCTCTCCGAGAGGATCTTGACTTTGTGAATAAGGTACCTCGCGGAGAGATTCGCAAATGTAACTTGTAGGTTGGTGATCCGAAACAGCCACCATGGCCCACAATTCGCCAGGATAGGAGAAATCTAGTATATAGAATGATACGCTTTTCTCTTCTCTTATTCTTTCCTTTCTGTTTGTAAAATCACTAAAAGTCCTATAAAGGAAGTCGCATACTAAAGTTTTGACCGGAGCCCTTCGAGCCGAAGTTCTCGAACTAGTTTATAAAGATAGCTGGACAATAAAGATTGTACGAAATCAATAGATGGGTAGTAGTAATTAAATTTAGAAACTTAGAATGCATAAACAATAGCTATGCTTTCTAAGTTCCCTTGTGTCAAATTTCTCAAAAGACACCCCCAAATCCAGGCCCGAACATCTCCCGGATAAAGTCTGCAAACCCCTCACCAGTCAGATCCCCCTGGGTAGACATCGAAGCTGTAGTCAAAAAAGGATCGTAATCTGAGATAAGAGTCTCGTACGGTTTTGAATGGGGAGACTGCTGTGGCATGAATCGTCTCACTCCATCATCAAACCCGGTGTTGGTGTACGTATCTGTTCTGGCCTGGCTAAGTTGATTTAAGTCTTTCAGTCCCGCTGCTCTGGCTCTCAGAATCATCATGAGGTGCTGTCCAAGCAACGCAGCAATTCCAAATCGATGCGATGGTGTTGTGCCTGCACGCTCTAACTGAATGGCAACTTGACTGAGTAAAGCAAGAAGTTCCACGTCGTTTCCGATGCGGGATCCATACAAGGCGGGGAACAACTTCAAAGCTAAAACGCCGGCGTAGGATATCATGGCCCAAGTGGGAGCTAACATGCAATATAATGGTTCCCCAATGTTATCCAAATCGCGCACGGCGAGCTCACAAGAATTGACTGCGGCCTCGAAGCAATCCGCTCGGATTGCATCCATATTTTGGTCGCCGCTTATGGAACCGTGAAGGGCAAATGACAAGGTCCAAAGTCTTCCATGGAGATAAACATAATGGAGGAAAATGCTAGATAGCTTCTCAGATGGCGATGTGATTAAATTGGGCATTGGATGTGATAGCCAAAGGTCACACCAGGGTCTCAGACTTGAATCAACCATTTCTCGTACCCAATGGGAATCACCATGGGTCAAATGAGCTTGATGTCTTAGTTCATTTTGTAGTGATGCTAGAATACGTCGCAGGGTGATGAACGCACATGTGTGCTTGTCTGTCGGGTCCGCCAGATGGTGGATCCACCAGCTGTCAACCCTTTGTGTCAAGTCTGTTTCTGGGAAAGTATGATTTCTACCACGGGCTGCACTATTCGCTCTTTCCCATAGTAGAATCCTTAGCCACGTTCTCTCGCGATTTCGCGCCATGCGTTGGTTTTCAGTCAGGTCTTTCGAAGGATACCCCAGTAATAAGCGCGACGAGTCATTTCCCGGAAGTGGTGTAGGGGTTGCATCTTGGGTTCTAGAATATGAAGCATTGATCGTGTTGAGGGGGGTCGAATCTTTGGCATGCGAATCTTGGTCTAACCCTAGTTCGGCTGCTACACCAAGGGCGTACATTGTGTAGAGCCATGAGCGCTCTTGCGCCAGTGTCTCTGCAGGAGTGGCTGATAGCAATGAGATGTAGTAGCCTTGAACGATTTCAACCGACTTATATCCACTAGTATGAACGTGCTTCGAGAGCTTTTCACCATGAAGGCGTAATCGCTTGGCGAGTGATGCTGAACCATGATCGAATTGTGCAGTTAAAGCCAGTATCCAAGTGAACAAAAGAGCCGATCGCGAACGCACAAAATCCGGGGTGTGAAACGTCGGGTCTAGGATTCCATTGACTGGATGCAAGCGGACGAAATATCTATAATCAATTAGTCCTTGTAAATTGAAAGTGCAGCCCGGGTTCCAGCTTACACTGGAAACAAATAACAGGCCTCGTCCATGGTAACCAGACCGAGGTCCACCGGGTCAACATCGGGGCCAACATCGCGTAGAGGCACCTGCAGAGACGATTTGAAATAGTTAGAGTAACGGTATGGGTGCTCAGAAGGGCCGACCAGAGTATCTATTCCTGCTTCTAGAGTATCCCTGCCTAGTTGTAAACCAAGTGACACGTAGCCTGGCCGATGAAGCAGTTGACGACCCAGTCTTGCTCCGATTGGCTGGCTGGCTGACGACTGCGTCGCAGAAGATGATTCATTGGTTTCTGGGGAAGGGTTGGCAGATTTTGAGTGCAGCTCCAAAGCCTGGGCGGCATCGGAGGCATCTGCCAGCAAGGCCAAAGGATTACTGATTGGTTCGCGATTGGATTGAGAGAGTTCGCCGCTGCCGAATACAGGAGAGACAAGGTTCGCCAACGGCTCATCATCTTGTGCAGTTGTCACAGTCGGGTTATAGCTCAGGACGCTAGAGCCTTCAGTTCCCAATTCTGGTAACGCGTGGGCGGAGTCGGTTGTCTCAGTTGGGTGGTTGGAGAATAAGAGCTCTAGAATTGGCTCTTCCCTTGCGACAAAATTATCCATTTCATCATTCTCGTCTGTATGAGACGTTTTCGCCTTCTTCAATTCCGACCGCATTTTCCGATAGGCCTTTTCAAATCCTTGATAGCGACCTGTCGCACCGCGCTTTCTTCCAAGTTTTCTCGGCTCTGGGATATTACACTCGCGGTTGGTGCGCTTACATCGTTGGCATGGTTCTGTCGAGTTATCGTCATGATGCTCCCTTTGTGGTCGGATGCATCTCATCTACAGGGGTTTGTCAGTAAGTATGTATTGCTTGTGGTTAGAGATTGGAGGCTATACCTTCATTTTCCGACATGCCTCACACGCGGCCGCGCTGGCGGGGCGAGTTTGACCAGAGGGATTATCATCCCCAGAATACGATGACATGGGGGCTTTAGAAATCAAATTAATAATAATAATAATAATAATATCGAAGTATTCAGTCGAAATATCCAAATTGATTCAAAGAGAGAGAGACAGTAGAGAAGTATCAAATATCCCCGGAATTTCAAAAACTGCGGGGGAATTTTCGGCTATGAGATTATACGCCTCGACCACCATCTACCTCTAATGTCGTTCCCGTTACAAAACTACTCTGCTCCGATCCCAAATACCATGCTGCATTGGCTATGTCCACTGGCTGGCATAGCCGTTTCATTGGCAACGATTCCTCCACTTGCCGGAGTCGCTGGTGGGAATCTTCGCCATTTCCAATGCTAGCTTGAAGCCTAGTTTGTGTTAGCAGTAGCCTAGGAAGATTTTGGATCAACATACATAGTAGTGTTTCCCACAGCAGGGGAAATACAGTTGAATCGAATCGCTGGGGCATACTCAAGGGCCATTGTCTTGGTTGCCACCTAGAGACATGTCACCATTTGGCACATCCAAAAGCTTCGTATATTTTACTTACTTCTACAGCTGCTTTGGAGGCGTTGTAAATGGCAAATCCCGGTCGAGGGCGTGTACATCCAGTGCTGCACCAGTCAGTAATCTCATACCAGAGTCTGGTTAGGTGACTTACCTCGTTATGTTGATAAAGATCCCATGTCCCTGTTGGATCATTACAGGCGCAAAGACTTGTGCACTGATAAAAACGGGCTATGTAAGTCATGTTAGTAATTACCCACGCACTGCAGCTAGGACATCTTACTTTCACATTAACGTTGAATGTCTTCTCATATTCAAGGAGACTCTTCGTGTGGATGGGCTAAATCACCGCGTTAGAAGGGCAATCGTGCTCTTGAAGGAAATCATACAGATGGATTATGGGTGATTCCTAGTTAGGCTATGTCAACAAATCAGAACGTAATATCGGCTCTTTAAATTCTTCGAATGTTCTCACCAGCATTGTTGACGACCACATCAACCCTGCCGTAGGTTGTCTGTGCCAAATCCAGGGCATTCTGCCATGTCTCTGGGCGAGTCACATCGCCAGGGAGAAAACTTATATTTGAATCGGCTCGTTGCTTGCTTTCACCTTTCGCTTGGTCCAGGTCTATAAGTATGACCTTACATCCCTCGCGGCTGAATCGGTCCACGATAGCAGCCCCGAAGCCGTCAGCGCCGCCTACAGTCCCAGTAAGATCGGAGCTGAAGGGATGGGCTGGATGTACGAACCTGTAACAATCACCACACGTGGAGTGTTCATTTTTGCACGAAGAGGCATAATGCAACTCGATTATTTCTTATACGCCTTTCCTTCCACACATTCTTCCATATTTAACATTTTAACTAATCACGTCGGAATTTTATCTCATTCTCCCCGCACTTGTCTCCATCCACCGGCTTCAAATTTGATGACCGGAATTCTCTCTCAGATAAATTTGACCCTCTCACATCACGTCACTCTTCTATCCCTGCTCGACCTCTTTTGACGATGACTCTTAATTTGCCAGACAACATGAAATTTATCAAAGTTGCGATTGATGTGAATTCCAATCTTTCAGGTGTAAACCACTGATATTTGATTTCAAACATATGTCAGACTGACCTCGCATTTTGCATATAGATCACATCGTGCCTCTACCCCATCGATTCCGCCAGGATTACGGCCGATATAACCACAATCGCCGCTAACATGAGGCGATTGGGTCTCCTTGCCCGAAAATACAATTTGCAAGTTGCATACGAAGCGCCCGTCTGGGGAACTCATGTCAATACTTGGCAGCAAATCCACGACATCATCAAATTTGTTGATCTTCCCAACGTTCGTCATTGCCTTGATACCTTCCATATTTCTGCCAGAGAGGCAGGCGATCCATTCAGTGCTGTGTCTTCTATACAACCAGGCAGCCTCGGAAATCTACGTCGATCCTTGGACGAAATGAAACAAACTATCATGCCAAATCAAATTGCTTATTTTCAATTGAGTGATGCAACGGTTGCTGATCAGGACCAAGTGGGCTACCCATGGCGTGATCTCAACCAGCCTCCCTATATGACTCAATCGCGCAACAGTCGGATATTCCCTTGTGAAGCGAACCGTGGAGGTGTGCTTCCTGTACTTGAGGTTGCGCAAGCGGTGTTTGATCTTGGGTATACTGGATGGGTGTCGATGGAAGTATTCCACACTGATATGTGAAACCCACGCTCTTCGTAAGTGTGATATTCAATGGGATTTACTTTGTCTCCTAACTTTTAACTTGTCGATAGAGTACCCGATGACTGGGCTAAAAGAGGGATGGCTTCATGGCGAGAAATATCACTCCACTGTGGGCTTGATCGACATGCCAATGGGAGGTTATGAGAATATTGAATGCTATGAAAAATAGCGAACATAGGCAAACCATTGATATATTGAATGATATGAGAAGAAATTTGGTCTAGTAGAAATTCTATAAATTTCACATTCGATTCCCTAGATCCTGCTTCCATTCCTTAAAACAAGCAAGCGTGATGCGGGCCCCTAAGCACTACCCTGATGCGACGGAATAAGTAAGGCGAATTGGATACTCGAATTTCCTTGCTAGGCCTTGCTCACACAACCATATGGACTATGGGATAACATTCAGCCGCTACCTGCGAAGAGAATATTTGTATAGCCCCGCATCCCTGCGCCGGTGTCCACCCGGCCACTTAATTTATTCACCGGCGCCGAGGCATCTATAGATCCCGGTGTATCAACATTCCACAATATAGTCATTATATTAAATATTAATCATTTACTTTGATGAATTTATGAAGAGATAAGCCTTTGATCCCCCTACATTCCTGGCCTGGCATCAACCATACCCACAATGGAGACTATCGAGGTCGATGTTCTCGTCTGCGGAGGAGGCATGTCTGGAATGGCATGCGCTGCTTTTGCGGCGGAAGCAGGAGCTAAAGTACTGGTCGTCGAGAAGCAAGCTGATGTGGGTGGCTCATCAAATTACTCTGCAGGGATGTTGTAAGTGATTGAATTAATCTTCAGGATAAACGGGTTCATTAATACCATCAACACACAGCTGGGCCCCGCAAACATATAACAAGCTGAGAAACTGGGTCCCTGACGGAGATCCAGCGCTTCAAAAGGCCTGGTTAAGCGATTATCTACCTGCTGTACAGTGGATGCGTGAAAACGGCGTGCCAATAGCAGACCGGTTCGACGGTATCATGACAATCGGTAGGACTGAAGGAAATAATTAGGTGAATAAGTACCCTAACACAATATAGGTATTGGATTTCCTATTAAGATTCCACACCTTCATAACCTCCACCGAAAGCGCATCCAGTCCAGCAAGACACATTCCGATATTTTCACCAACACGTCGGTAGTCAAGTTGATTCAGAAAGAACCAGGGGTTTCAGGATCGAGCATAATTGGTGCTGTCATTTGCAGGAACTCTGCGCTATATTACGAAGTCAGATCCAAAGTGGTGGTTTTGGCTACGGGAGGCTTTCAAGGTTCTCCGGGGATGACATCTAAATATCTGGGGCAAGGTGGAGACAATATCTTTGTGCGCTCCAATCGTGGATCGGTGGGCGATGGACTCAAGCTGGCCATGGAATCTGGTGCAGGAACCAGTAGAGGAATGAACACCTACTATGGCCATCTTTTGGCGGCTCCACTTCGAGCTGAAGACGTGGATCCAAAGGACTATCTTCCACTCGCTCAATACCGTAAGAGCAGGTCCTCGTCAGCTCTGTTTTTCTCTCTAATCAGGTTACAGAAAGCAAATACTGCTTACTACTGAACGAAGCAGGTCAGCGATTTGCCGATGAGACCACAGGTGACGAGATCATCAATCAGTATCTCGCCAAGCAGCAAAAGCGTCGCGGGTTTATATTGTTCAAGTATGTTAGTTCCCAGAAAGAAGGGATTGCGGCGATATTCTGACCATCGACTTCTCATTCTAGTGAGAAGACCCGTCTCCAACACTGCGTCACTGCGTTGTTCCCTAATGCAGGAAACATTGATCGTCTGCAGAAAGCCCGCGAACATGGCTGTAATGTTGGAAGTGCGTCAACATTGAGTGGTCTGGTAGATATTCTTCACGGATGGGGTGTGAATGATGTACAGGCAAGACGCACCATCGAGGCGTATGATCAAGTGGTTCGTTTGGGGGATAAGAGCATTTCCCTTCACGCCCCTATCGGTCGAGCTGGTTCGCCCCCTGCACCCTTGGTGGATGGGGAAGGACCCTTCTATGCCATGGAAGTTCAGCCATCGTATGTTATCTCTTGCCGTAATACGACTCTCCATGTCTAACGTTCGATAGGATCACATTCACCTACGGCGGTATCGCGATCGATACGAAGGGGCACGCCTTGACCCCAGATAAATCCCGAATTCCAGGTTTGCTCGTCGCGGGCGTCGATGCTGGTGGTTTCAGTAATCTCGGATACGCCGGGGGTCTTGCTCTTGCGTTCGTGACAGGTCTATGGGCGGCCCGAGAGGTTGCATGCGACTTGGGGTTGCCTGAGCCTCGCCTACCCCCTGCCGATGTTCGGGATGGGAAGGATAAACCAATCCAAGGGCGCCTTTGACCTGGTTCCGTTGAAAATTGCGTCTAGAAGTTGATTATGATTAAGATAGTATGTTTGTGAAAGTTCGCACTGAAGATTTGTGTGGCAATGGTCACCAAGGTTGAATTGGGATGGGTCAATCCACCCTCCGTCAAGGTCCTCACCTTCCAGCCGATGAATATAAAACCACCGACTTCCCGTCCCAAATTTCCATTTCCGAACATCAGTCCCCGTTTGATGTCTGGAGTATCAATAAGTGACACACTCCAGTAGATACAGGGGTCTCTGTTGTCTCACTCTCCTCCTCATTCTTTTTTTCTTCCCTGTCAACAGTCCTAATTATGTCGCTGAACTCTGCTGTGTTTCCAAGATATTTGCTCTTTCGCTATTCTACTCTTTCTCTCACACACATGGTAACTACGCACGAATAAGAACGAGCAACGACTACAGATTCATGAACATTCAATCATTTGCATCCATTCTAAATGTGTGTTATACACAGTCTTGGCCGCTCAAATTATCTACTTGGATCATAAACACCCAATGGATGTTTGATTCACATAGCGACATTCTAGGGTGCTACCAAAACGCCACGATAACGCATTTTTCCTTCTTCCAATGTCTTCAAGCTTTGTTTGACACCATCCAATGTCAAAGGGAAGGTCATCTTGACAGGCTGGATGTTATGGAATGCGGCAAATTCAAGCATATCCTTGTGAACCTGTCTCGAACCCACGATACCTCCTTGAATCCGAAGACCATTCAAGAGCAGCGGCATATATGGGATTTTGAGATCGTTTGAATCGACAGTCAAAGGCGAAATGATACCACCGGGAGCCATGACATTCAAGTAGATCGGCCAATCTGGCTGACTGCTGGTCGTCACAATGAGATGATCGAGAGGAGCTTTGATCTTCAGCTCCTTCACACCCTTCATCGCATAAAACTCGCCAGCTCCCAGCTTCGTCGCCTCCTCCTTCTTGCTATCTGTGCCGGAGAACACCACGACTTGGCAGCCCATCTTTGCAGCGAACTGAATAGCTAGATGCCCCAGACCGCCTACACCGACGATACCAACGCGAGCGGTTGGACGAACCTCGGCGACATGGAGCGCGTTGAAAACAGTTGATCCACCACACATCAAGGGTCCCGCATCCTCGTTGCTCATGCTGTCGGGAATCTTAAACAAAAAGGCTTCACGCCATACGGCATGGGTGCCGAAAGATCCTTGATCAAGATCGGCCAAGCCGTACATTTTTCGCTCACTGCACAATGTCTCCCACCCGGTGAGGCATTGTTTGCAGAAACCACAGCAGTCATGTTCATAGCCCCAACCCACACGATCGCCTTTCTTCAAAAGCTTCGCGTCTGGACCAGTTGCTTCCACCACACCCGTTCCCTCATGACCAAGGGCCATATCAGCTGACTGGTAGTGGACGTCTGTGCCACACACTCCGGAATGCGTGGTTCGCACGAGGACCTCGTCTCGTTTGAGGTCCTCCCGCTCGGTCTCCACCTCTTTGATTCCATCCTTGGAGCCCTTATATACGGTGATTTTGATTGTCATTTTGGAAAATATTGATGCAAAATACAGTTCGGTTTTGCGAAACTTGAAATGTATAAAGGAAGGGTTCGCGCCTCAACACTTATCAGCCTACGAGTCTGCTTTATAGGCAACCCCCTCTAGTACGTCACTAGCCATTAGTAAGGGCGATCAAACCTGACATGTCTAGTCGGAACAAAGTTTGAATCAACAGGATAATCTGAGAAGTGATGCAACTGAGTGGGCCCTCCTTGTCGATGGTGATTGCCATGTGATATCACGGCGTTTTTCCCCTAGACCTACTCAGAATTATAAGAGTTGCTGGGACAAACCTCGAGATAAAAGATTCTGGAAACATTAGATCTTCCATATCCTTGCTAGGGGCTTGGTCAATCTTGGAAGACTTCGAAAGGCTGAAAGTCGATGACATCATATGCCTTAGCTCGACGTACTCAGCGCCGAATAGCGGCCACGAAAAGCTTGTAGCAGCATAGTAGATAGCCCTCACATACTATCTCCTTATCTACTATCTATTTGGTGACAATTACTCCGTACTCAGCTACCTAGTATGCATGAGGCGTGGCTACTTCATGCAACTCCATGCACTATGCTACGATCATTGTGGCTGGATCTGGCCGATCATTCATCTCACGTTTCCTCTAAGCTGATCTGCGATTCGAAATATTTTTTGATATATTTCTAGCTCACTCTCCAACAAGGGCCGGCGAGGCGTATATCAATACTAGACCTCGTCGGAAAATGTGTCGGATTCAAGGGTAGACCTCCGCAAAGCCCATAAATGAGCCCAGACCCTGGGCCCAAAGCCCAACCCAACCCACGGCCCATTCGTAGGGGCACATAAAGCCCCCATTATAGCCTATTTAGGGGGTTCAACTTATATCTTGTCATCGCTGTATTCTAACCTTCCACTTATTATATAATGTTTAACTTTTTGGAATTTATAAAAGCAATAGCTATATAAGTATATCTTCCATTTTAAACGAAATCCGACCGGTAGAGGTCGAGATACCGCGAAAAATATTAATATTAATGTTTTAACAATATATTTAATAGGATTTATACAAGAGTACTGATACTTTCTAGCTGAATTTTGGTGAACAACGCGTTTTCTCGCGTCTTTAAACGTGACATATAGACTTTAACTAATTATTAATTATGTGTCAATTAAAATAGTAAAATATTACCCTAAAATAAAGGCTAAAAAAGGATTTAAATATAAGGTAATTGAAAAAGTCACGTTGTTCAAAATGTTTTCATTGTTTAGTGCTAATTGGGCCTGATGGGCCCCCATTCAAAGCCCAGTGGGCTTTCGCCCCGGGCCCAGAATCCAGCCCATTAGCAGGTTGGGGCGGGTTGGGCTCTGGGCTTTACGGAGGTCTATTCAAGGGAGGGTATGGACTCTTCGAATAGAGCTCTTGAAATCCATATAGTTGAGAACTATCAATGAAATGAGTGCCATCAGATTCTTTCTATTGAGACACATTTAGAAGACATCTTCAACTCAATGATAATAGCTATAATAGTATTCCATATACCATCTGGGCAAAGTGATTGATCTCGGAAGTGTGTACTCCGCAGCTAACCGCTTTCCCCGACCGTTACTAATTCTGCCATGATTTTAAAGGCGGTAAGGTAAAACCACGCGATATCGGGTATCCCAATTTGGAATGTACGAAGTCTAAAATAACAAATTTTCTCTCATCTCACACTTAAAAGTTGCTCATATCTCAAAGTACTAGGACATATAACTTTTCTTAACCTCTGTGACGGTCAGGGGAGTCATTGGTGTTGAGAACATGATTCAGGTCCATAGTATCACTAGTCCCGGGGAATCGCCCCATGTCTCATCTGACAAAGATGCAGCATTGGCGGTGGTGAGCGAGTTCGCCCAGGAAATTGATCCGGTAGTGGAAAAAAGGGTCCTGCGAAAGATTGATATGTATTTGATGCCTGCTATGCTTATAGGTTAGTTATACACTTCATATATGTGACCTAGGAATTGTTTTGGCTAACTCGAATACAGGCTATGGCATGGTATACTATGACAAGGTGCGATGACTGCACCGATGTCATTTTTGGCTAATATATACTAACCTCTCTATAGGCTATCTTAGGTAGCGCCACCCTCTTTGGTATGACGACCGACTTGGGATTGCTAGTGAAAGATTATTCCACTACTCCTCCATCTGTTGATACTTCACGCCTCAGCTGGGCAACATCAATCTTTTATTTCGGGATGCTTGCTGGTCTCTACCCAATGACATTCATCTTGCAAAGGTTTAATACTCGAACTGTCCTTGGTCCAGTTGTTCTGATCTGGGCCATTGTCTGTGCCGCCACCGCTGGTGTGACGACCTGGCAAGGACTTTTCGTTCAACGATTCTTCCTTGGTAAGTTTACCTTTAATGTGTTTACTGGCCTCTTTTCTAATAGAGGATAGGCTTCATCGAAAGTGTTATTCCTACGGGCTTCATGACCATAGTCAGCGGATGGTACACACAAGAGGAGCAAGCTCTTCGACAGGCATGGTGGTTCTCTGGCACCGGTTGGTTCACCATCATTGGTGGCGCCCTTAACTATGGATTTGGCCAAATCACAGCTGGATCATTGAAAAGATGGCAGTATATCTATATCCTGGCTGGTGCCTTGACCTTTTTGTTCGGCCTCTGGTGTTGCACCATGCCTAATTCTCCAGTCTCTGCCTGGTTCCTCACTCCGGAAGAACGAAGGGTTGCTGTGGAGAGACTGCGTAAGGGACAAACTGGTGTTCGATGCCAAAAGATCAAGTTCGATCAAATCAAAGAGTCTGTGATGGATATCAAGATATATTTGGTAGCTATCATGATGGCGGCAGCGTGAGTTTTATCTCTTGTTATGTAGTCTATAACATTAGACACCATACGAGCCATGACGTTAACCTCTCTATATATAGGTACACTATTAATGGTGCTATCTCAGGCTTTGGGCCGTTGATTGTTTCCACCTTCGGCTATGATACCCTTCATTCAATTCTGTTCCAATTTCCAGTCGGCGCCATTTGTGTCGTTTTCATTCCTCTTTGTGGTTATATTCCTACTGTTGTCCCCAACACCCGCATACCTCTGCTCATTACCTGCTGCCTACCTGTCATTGCTGGCTGTGTGATGATTTGGAAATCCCAATGGGGATATCATCCAGTTACTCCAGTCGTTGGCTATGCGCTCACCGGCTTCTTTGGGCCAGTGGTCAGCTTGATCATCACAATTGGAGCTAGCAACGTCGCTGGGGCGACGAAGAAAACTGTCATGGCAGCCACCGTGTTTGTGGCTTACACTGTCGGCAATATCATCGGACCGCAGCTTGTGAAGAGCAACACCAAGTCACAACATTATCCAGAATTGTGGACAGGCATGGTCATCTGGTAAGCCTGTATCTGATTTTCTTAATTAGACCGATCTAACAAAATATAGCTACTGTA